CACAATGACCAAGAAATTGAAACAAACTTAATTGTCCATTAACTAATGCATGGAAAAGAAAATGTAAAACATATACACAATGTAAATATTACCCAGCCGTAAAAAGAATGAAATCCTATCATTTGCATGGATGGAACTGGAGATTATTATGTTAAATGAAATAAGTCAGGCACAGAAAGACGATACTGCATGATCTTACTCATCATATATGGAGACTTAAAAAGTCAATCTCAATAGAATTTGCAAATAAAATAATGATTACTAGAGGTTGCTAAAATTGCGGGTCAGGTGGGAGAAGGTTACTCAATGGGTACTAAGATATAGTTTGATATGAGTAAGAAGTCCCAGGGTACTGTTGGATAGTATAGGTTCTATAGATAAAAATTATGTGCTGTTCATTTCAAAAAACTAAAACATTTGAAAGTCTTCAGAAAGAAATGATAAATGTTTGAGAAGACATATAAAATATGCATGTATCAAATGTTACTGTATAAGGTATTCCATTAATATGTGCAACTTTTGTATTTTGGGGTACAAGTTTAAAAAGAAAGAGTCCTGGTGTAGTGATCTAGCTCAGTGGTAGAGCACTTGCCTGGAGCACTAGGTTCAATCCGTGACACTACCAAAAAAAATGATTAAGTGTATAGATGAAACACTATTGGTTGTCAGTTGGTAATTACTGCATCTAGATGATGTGTACATGTGTAGGTTCACTGATCAGTGCTTGTGTATGTTTGAAATTTTCCACAGTAAAGGTTGTTACTTAAAAATTCAGTATAGATTTATTTGATAAGTTGGCAAAGTTTTATAAAAGTTAAAATACCCAGGACTGATGAGGATGTGGTGAGATGGCAAACTAATTCCCTGCTAGAAGAGAATTTGATCAAAACATTCTGGAAGAAAATTGTTAAATAGGTATTAAAATGTCAACTATCATCCAGAGTGTTTACATTTAGAAATTTATCCCCAGGAAATAATAAAGGATGACCACAGAGATGTATTTAAAAGGTTTCTTATTAACATACTACTGTACTGTATTTATAAAAGATCAGAATAAATGGAAAACTGACTCCAGCTTGACAGTGTACAGAGCTCTGCTGACCCACTCCCCAGTAAACTGATGCAAATCATCCAATGCCCCCTGGAAATGATCCTAAGGGTTAACAGCAGATAAAAGAAAAATATTCAAGGAAATCTATGAGTACTCAGGGGAAAAAATGAGAGTAACTGGGATTTGAACCAAGACCACTCCAGCCCTCTTCTACTCTCCCAGCTCAATGATAAGGAACTCAATTCTGAACTCTTCAAGCCAGGAACACAGGGTCTCTCTTCCCCATCCTCAAGCCAGAACACTTCAGCATTGTTCATAATACATCCAGCTTTCCTGTTGCTCAGTTTATGTCCTAGGTGAGTGCACTTGAAAGGTAGGGGCTTCATTTTTCTGCCCAACTCACATCTAAACATGGCATACTGAGAATACTGGGCCCCCAAAGTTACTCTTCTTACTTGTATGGTTCCATGCAAGGAGAGACAAACTAAGAGGACCTCAAGTTTATGTGTCCCCCAACTACCTACCCACCTACCATGACTTCAGCACCTGGTGTGAGTGTCTTTCAGAATTTTGTCATTGTTTCCACCCCAGCTCCAGAGCACTGGCTCGGGGATTTTACCTAAGAGGAGAAGCAGGCCATAAACAGCTCTTGATCTCTTCCCAAAGAAACTGGTTTATCCAGGCATGGTGGGACACGCCTGTAATCCCAGCACTCTGCAGGCTGAGAGGCAGGAAGATCACCACAGGTTCAAGACCAGCCTGGGATACACCACAGTGAGTTCAAGGAGAGCCTGAACTACATAGGGAGACCCTGTCTCAAAGAAAAAGAAAAGAAGAGAAAAGAAAAGAAAAGAAAAGGGCTTAATTTGCAACATTGTATGAAGTTTATACCTAAGGGCACTCTCAAGAACGGTGGAAGTTGAGTTGAAAGACAATTGGGAAGAGATTCTTGCATCTAATTAACATTATCTGCTGGAGGCTAACTAGTTTGCCAGAGAAAGCTGGCAAGTGAAACAAAGGAGCCCTTCTCAAGGCCAGAATACAGATCAAACAAGGACCTCACAAACAATTCATTTAAAAGACTTACAAGTTGGTTAGAGTCTTTGGTAAAGAATTTGTGGCCTATCAAAACATTGGGATAATCAATTACTAGACTTAACAGCTAGTGCATTAAGAGTGTAAGAGATGCCTTCCAAGCTCAAGGTCATCCAAGGGTGGCTATGGGCATACCCAAAGTGCACCTCCATGAGGAACAACATCAGAGGCTCAACACTGTTTTGGTGGGGGCTGGAGGGATGGACATCACTAAAATAACCCAGTCATCACTAAATAAATAAACAAGCAAATAATGAGCAAATTTCAGAGGAAGAGAGGCCAATACCCAGAGAGGCTATATTTTCCAAAATGTCCATTTTACAATAACAAAAAAATTGGAAAGCTTGCATAGAAACAGGAAATTGTGACCCACATACCAGAAGAAGAGCAGTTGGTAGAAATAGCCTGAGAAGGATCAGATGTCAGACTTAACAAAAATATTTCAAAGTAGCCATTATAAAAGGTTCACAGAAGTTAAGAATAGCGTGATTAAATAATGAAATGAAAGTACGACAGTGCCACACTGTCATCTGAGAAGGAGATAATCTGCTGGAGGATAAGTAAAAATGCTTGAATACATAGGCAGACACGGACGAGGACTTTCTGAAGAGAATCCCAGTAGTGGAACCTAATACCCAGAATCAACAAATGGGATCATACCAAGTTAAAAAGCTTCAGCACAGCTAAGGAAACAACCAACAGAGTGAAGAGAATGGCAAAAAAAAATTTGCCAACTATTCATTGGACAGAGGGTTAACAACTAGAATATGTAAAGAACTCAAAAGAATTAGATCCCCCAAAAAGCAAAAGGTCCAATAAAAAAATGGGCATCTGAAATTAAAGCCACTTTTTAGAAAAACTACAAATGGCCAATAAATAAATGGAAATGCTCATCATCACTGACCATTAGAGATATGCAAACAAAAACAACACTCCATCTTAGTCCAGGAAGAATGGCTATCATCAAGAAATCAATAACAATTCCCCATACCAAAAAAAAGATATCAATAGCAACAAATTCTGGCAAGGGTTGGGAAAAATAAACCACACTGGTAGTGGGAATGTAAACTAGTACAACTACTATGGAGATTCCTTAAAAAACTAAAAATAGAAATTCCATTGACCCAGCTATTTTCCTTCTGGGTGTCTTCCTGAAAAAGTTAGTCATCATGTTACAGTGAGACATGCATACCCATGTTTACAGCACCACAATTTATAATAGCTAAATCTTGGAAATGGCCTATATGGCCATCAACAGATGAATGTGGTATTTATACACAATATAGTTTTATTTTCCCATAAAGAAAGATAAACTTGGGGCTGGGGATTTAGCTAAGTGGCACCGTGCCTGCCTTGCAAGTGCAAGATCCTGAGTTCAATCCCCAGCACCAAAAAAAAAAAAAAAGTCAAAGACAAGGAGAAAATCAGTTCATCTATGTGCCAACTTTTTATTCACTACAGTCATTTTCAAAATAAATTTTAAAGTATACTTCTAAACAGTAAATTTCCTTTATGTTTTAATTCAGAAACACTAGTAAGTAGAAATGTTTAAGGATGTTAAAACAAAATTATAGAAAGTATGTGGTAACTTGGAAAAGCTTTATTATAAAAAAATTTTAAAAGCCAGGATATAAATTACTACCTAAGTAAAAAAATGCCTGCAGGGCCAGAGATTTAGCTCAGTGGCAATGTGCCTGCCTCACAAGCACAAGGTCCTGAGTTCAATCCCTAGTACTGAAAAAAAAAGATTAAATAAATAAATAAAAATAAATACATACATATATTGACATAAATGGAACAGAAAATGAAAAACAAACAAACAAGGTGCTGTTGATTGGCATGGCCAGACATTGGCATTGTGGAAGGCATTTCTTTCTCATTTAACTGACCCGTATTTCTACTGTAATGTAAGCCTAGACAAGAAGAGAGAAGTAAGTAAGGCAAATGAGTGAAAGAATTAGGATTTCCTGGAGCTCTAAATAAACCCATCCTTTCTTACCTTATTTCCACTTTGATCTTCCCATTGGATGTACTTAAATCAAGGTCTCTGTGTAAGAAAAAGTAAACAACCCCAGTATCTGGGAGAGCCATCCTGGCCCTAACTACTACTGATCTTGGTGCTCTTCCGGGGGGCACACACAGTTCCACAGGACATCAATATCAAATAAGCCTCTGTCTGGGGATTTAGCTCAGTAGCTCCATGCCTACCTCCCAAGCAAAAGGTCCTGAGTGATCCCCAGTACCGGGGGGGGGGGGGAAGGTCATTATGACTGTGATACAGCAAGTCAAATTAAGACCAATCTGTAATCACAACAGAGCACAAACATATGAATATTGTCCTAGCCACAAAAATGACCAAACACCCCCACCCCCAGACTGGCTCAACTTCTTTGGCAATCACAACTTCTTCTTTCCTTCTAGATGAAATATGTTAACATTTTCAAAAGCATCACATCTACAACAAAACTCAGTATGACTCAAACATCACTTCACACAAACTCAGGGACTATAATAAATCCTTAAACACACTTACAGTGAGAAGCCTCACTATTCCCCAAAAGTACACTTTCTCCTTTGTTGTAATGAGTAATAAACCCAACATTTTCAGCAACTGTTGTGTTTTCAGTGGGTTTTTGCAGGAGGATGCTGACAGTTAGAATAGTCATTTGATCAAAGGGGTTTTTTCCATCTTTAACCTAAAGAGTCTATATGAAGGGCTTTATTCTCCCAAGATGTTCCTTTTACAAAAAAAGTTCCTAGATGTTCCTTTTACAAAAGATAGCTGCTAATTTGCATATAGTATAAAAAACAAAAAGGTTTTCATCTTTCATGATTTTGCTAGCCTATATCATTATTAAGTACATAAAAACTTTATAGTAATGACTTTTCCAAGAGCCCCTTTCATGTCCCTATTCCTCAGGCTGTAGATGAAAGGGTTTAGCATAGGAGTCACCACTGTGTACATCATGGCAGCTGCAGTGTCTTTCTCTGCTGAATGAGATGATGAAGGGTTGAAATACAGAAATATGATGGTGCCATAGAAGAGAAAAACTACAGCCAGGTGGGAGCCACAGGTAGAGAAGGCTTTCCATCTTCCTCTCCTAGATGAGACCCTCAGGACAGCACAAACTATAAGGTTATATGACACCAGAATACAAATAAATGGAGCTATCATGATCAGCCCTGCTTCAAAAAGAATCATCATTTCATTGAGGTGTATGTCTGAGCAGGAGAGTCTCAGGAGGGGGATCACATCACAGAAGAAGTGGGGGATCACATTGTCTGCACAGAATGAGAGTCGAGCCATCAGCAGAGTGTGCAACAGAGCATTCAGGTTGGCGACAACCCAAGATCCAGCCACCAGCAGAGCACAGAGCTGATGAGTCATCTTTGTTGTATAATGTAAGGGGTGGCAGATGGCCACAAAGCGGTCATAGGCCATCACAGCCAGGAGGAAATTGTCCATATCAGCAAACATACAGAGAAAATACATCTGTGTGAGACAGCCAGAAAAGGAGATGGCCTGGCTGCCAAGCATGTGATTGGCCAGCACCTTGGGGACAGAAGTGGAGGAGAAGCAGATGTCCATGAAGGACAGACTGCTGAGGAAGAAGTACATGGGGGTGTGTAGGCGAGAGTCTGTGCTGATGGCCAGGACAATGAGCAAGTTCCCTAGGACAGTGGCCAGGTACATGGTCAGGAAGAGTAGGAAGAGGAGCTGCTGCTGCTGGGGCTGCCTGGAGAGGCCCAGGAGGAGGAACTCGGAGATGCAGGACTGGTTCAGGCTTCTCATAGTCTGAGTGCAGTTGCAAAGAAGAGAGATCGAGGTTAGAAATGCAGAAGCTAAGTGCCTAGGTGGAACAAGTCACATTCTAGCCATGGTTACATCAGCCAAACCTTCATTAGAGCTGCTGAATCTACTTCCAACTCTCAATCCTAGATGACACTGGTTCCAGTGGACTCATTCTTTTACTTTAACAAGATAGGACATTAAAACAACATGTAGGGGCATACACAGCACTTCACTGCAATTATGTAGATCTCTGTTACGTAGGTCTCTGTTAAGCATTCTCCCACTCTTTGGCAGCTCACAAGGACAAGAGCAACAACTGATTATTACTGTGTTTCTCTTAAGCTCCAGAAGATGGATTCAAGAACCTTGCCATTGCTCCCTGGGTATAGAAGGATCAGCAAGGGTGGTTCCTCAGAGAACATCCCTCATTAGTAAAGAAGTACTGGCCTCTCCACTGTTGTGATAGGACCTGGAGAGGCCAGCGCTGGTATCACCATGTGCCCTTCACCTTGGGGTTGTTGGTCAGTTCTCCTCTTTATTCTAAGGATTGGAAAATCTCAGAGACAGAGGCAGGTTCTGAGCCAGGGAAGAGCAGATAGTCATGGCTTTATCTTCGTTGAGGCAAGGATGTTGGGGGAATCAGATAGTTATTTAGAGTAGCATTCATAGGCAATGGGACTAGATCCCTGGGAGTCTCATTAGAGACAAACACAAAGTAATTGTCCCACCTATTTCTTGATCCCAGTGGACCAACAATGATTACAAAGTTTGTCATCTAACTCCTGGGTCAGAACTTGCAGATAAAGCAGTCTGATGAGAGACATGTTTCAGAGACTATACCCTTAGACCTCAGAATTGCATGACTTGCTGATCTCAGGTTATATTTATGGATTTGGAGAGTCAATTATTTGTTTGTTTTGTTTTATTTTTTGGTTTTTTTTTTTTTTTGGCTCTGGAGATCAAACTCAGGATGTTGCACTTTCGAGGCAGCCAGTGGCACCACTGAGCTAAATCCCCGACCCTGGAGAGTCAATTATTATCTGATTTTTCTTCTTATTTTCCTTAGCTGAGAGACTGGGGCTATTTCAGTGTTATCTGAGTAAACCACTCCACCTTGTTTCTTGTATCTTGTCATTTACTGCATAGAGTTAGTGCCACATTTGCAGACAGGAGACAGGGAAGGGGACAGCGAGGAAAAGGTAGCAGTTCAAAGTTGAGCTTGATCCTTTAAAGCATTTGATGTAAAGGGTGATCTTTTTGTAATTAGGTAGGGAGTGATATTGAGGAGTGCATAGCGTGCTATGATTGAGGAACTCCATGCTCCTAGAGTAGATTTCTGGAATGTCTTCCCAGCTTGCAGTCGCTCACCCTTCTCTGCAAATGGGCCTACAATCTAAAAACTCTAGAGTGTGGACTCCAGCCACCCAATGTATACTCTATCACCCTCTCCCCAGTGATATGTGGATTTTTGTTATTGTTTTTTCATTGTGTTTGTTGTTTTTTGCACTACTAGGGATTGAGCCCAGGATCTTTGCACTGGGCCACATCCCCAGCCCTTTTATTTGGTCTCACTAAGTCACTAAATTGCCCAGGCTGGGCTTGAATTTGTGATTCTCCTGCCTTAGTCTCCCAGAGTTCTGGGAGTACAGGTCAGTCTCACCACAGCTGGCCGAAGTGAGAATTTATGATTGCACTAGGGACTGGAAACTGAAACTCAGGGCTTGTAGACTATTCTCAGTATGACTTCGTTTGTACACGTAAATTCAGAAGCTTGCATCTTTCTCCTGGCTGATTCACAGATTAAGAAGCAAATGTCTAGCTGACAATTTAGCTCAGCGTTGCCACCACCTGCCTTGCAAGTGCAAGGTCCTGAGTTCAATCCTCGATAACAAAAAAAAAAAGAAGAAGCAAATGTCTATAGATAAAGCAAAAGCAAAAACAATGTACACGTACAGAGAGAAGTAGAGATGAGCTGGAGAAAGGACTGCTGGCTGCCCAGCTCAGGGTTGAAGATGTTTTCTGATGACTGACTAGAATCTACCTTTGCTCACAATTATTAGTTGCAAATAACAAAAGCCAAGTATTTCTGGGTTAAGACCAAAAAAAGTTTCATAGGAATGATAAAGGATATCTTTCCCAAAAAAAAAATTTTTAGAGAACCAAGTTGAGGAAACCACACAGCAGCCACAGTGACCCAAATCATGCTACATAACTGTTGTGATTAACACACCAATATTGCTGCTTCCCCAAGCATGGATGTTGCTGTGTGTAGCTTTGACACAGCTATCACTGGACACAGATGCTGCCCATTCCACTTCAGCCACTGCTGCTCTGTGAATCCACCTTGCTATAATGGATACTGCTGCCAGAAAAGTTCCTCTTGGTCTTGCCTTCTTCACGTCAAAGGCTGAGTTGGGGGATCTGATGAAGAGTCACATACTCACATCTCAGGTGCAAAAGAGACTGAGGAATCAGGCATCCTGGATTTTCTATTCTATCAAGAGAAGTAGGTAGGGGATTGTCTCAGCTTTCTGGAAGGGGTTGCAGAAGTTGGGAAGCCCAGAAGATGCCCAGTAGGATCCACCTCACCCACTGTACAACATTAACACCCAACCCCTCTTCCCAAGTAGAAAAGAAACTCTCTGGCCTAACAAGCAACTACCCTTCACACAATAGAGGACAATTCCAAGTCCCATTGATTACTGCATCTAATCATGAGTCATCTTGACATTCTGGGACTTCTGAATTAAAGACAGAAAGCTAACCAATTGCTATGCATCCTACGTGTATGTAAAATGTGGAGAAAGGAGACAAAAAAGGATAAAGCTAGCTAAGACAACTGAACATGTAAATATAAGGAAGAAAGGATGAGCAGATACTGTAGTCCAGTCTTCATTCCCCAGTTGGCCACAACTCTTGGTTGATATTAGTTTTCCTTATCCAAGATCTAATTCATACCAGGAATAGTGGCACATGGCTGTAATCCCAGCTACGTGGGAGGCTGAGGCAGCAAGATTGAAAGTTTGGCCCAGCCTGGGCAACTTAGCAAGACACTCTCAAGAAAGAAAAGAGAGAAAGAAAGGAAGGAAGGAAGGAAGGAAAGAAAGAAAGAAAGAAACAAAGAAACAAAGAAAAAGAAAGAAAGAAAGAAAGAAAGAAAGAAAGACAGACAACACAGACTTGGGGATATAATCCAGTGTAAAGGCACTTCAATCCCCAATACCAAAAAAAAAATTGATTTCACGTTCCCTTTGTCACTGGTATCTCAACTATTCTGTGTTGTTGGGGATTTGGGGTTGACCTGATATAGTAACCCAAAACTCTCATGTCAGATGTTCAACTTCCTTACAGTCTTACTGTATAAGACTACTCTCATCTTTCATTAACTGCCATCACTGAATATGGCAGAAAGTTCAGAGTCCTCTCAAGGAGACCTTTCTATCTGTAATCCTCTCTGCTATCTTTGTGTAGCAGCAACACTATTTTCTATTGGTAGTTAAAGTCCTATGACACCAGAATCCTGTTTGGTCAGTTTATTCAGTAATAAATTCAGCTCAAATTGGTCAGCAAGAAGCCTCTGCAGAGCCCAGTGTTTCTGAGATAAGAAGCAAAATTTTGTATTATGAGATTTGTCTGCCTGTCCCCTTGTTTGCTTGCTCAATAAATTTTTAGATGGAAGAAATTTCAGTATATATTGTCCACTGGTATGAATCTCACACTATATCATGTAAACAGGACCCCAAACCTACAGACTAGCCTCAAACAATGCCAAAACTGAGTCTTTAAAAAACTATTGCATTATTCCACAAGGTCAGCTACTTCTGGTGACATTGTATAAATAAATAACAATGATTCAATGGACATCGGCCTCACTCTTTGTTTTGTTTTATTTTATTTTAATTTTTTGAGACAGTCTCACTATGTTGCCTAGAGAGGCTTCGAATTTACAGTCATCCTCTGGACTCAGCCTCCTGAGTGCCAAGATTACAGGTATGTGCTACCATGCCCGCCAATTATCTATTATGGAAGTAACAAATTGTTCTAAAACATAGAAATTTCAAATACTAAGCATTCCTCTCACATAGGTACTGTGGTTCAGGAATCTGATAGAGGTTTAGCTGAATGATACTGGATTCAGGTTTCTCAGGAGGCCACAGTTTAGTTGTCAGCAGAGGCTCAGTCATCTGAAGGCGTGAAGCTGGAGAATCAGCTCCCAAGATGGCATCTTCACATTTCTCTTGGCAGCCCACCCCAGGGCCTTATGTGGACCTCTCCATAGAGTTAACTAGATGTGTCCTCACATGGGCTAGCTGGTTCCCCCGGAGCAAGTGATCCAAGAGAACAAGAAGAAAGCCTCACAATCTCCTACAGCCTAGCTCCAGAAGTCACAAACCATCATTTCTTGTTTGTTTGTTTGTTTTATACTTGACATGTTTATTAAACTATCGCCTAAATTTAAAAGTGCATAGAAAATAAACGTGTTTAAAAACTCATTTTTTATCAACCATGTACATTGTTTACTTTTACAAATTCAGTCTTTTGTAGAGAGCTTTCACCATTTTGTTATTTTTTGAACTATTATTTTCCTTTATCCCTGTCGCAGGGAATTAACACTGATGAAACTTAGACACAGTTTCCTTTTTTTTTTTTTCCTCTAACCAGAAGTTTGGAAGAACACAAGGGGGAAAAACACCCCACAAAATAAAAGATCCGTTATACATGATATAGTTTTGAAGAAATGTCATTTCTAGAAAAGAAGCTTGTCATCTGCTGAGCTCTTGAAACAATTGTCCAACTACCTATATTTACTAAAGAGACCATTAAAAGTTCAATGAAAGAAACACCACAAGTCTATTTTCTTGGTTGAAAGACAGAACTAGAGTATCTTGGAACAAGCTACCAGGAAAGCACAGAACACAATTTTCCCCTAAATGCAGGACACACCATCATTTCTTAAGCACACTATTGCTTACGCAGCCATCCCAGTTAGATGTGGGAAGAGAATACACCAGGCTAGGATCATTGAGGGACATCTAAGTAACTGGCTACCATAGCCATTTTAGTGTGAATTCCACAGTTAGAGACTGTGTGAGATGCCAAGTTGGTGAATAAATCCATCACCACTAACACACAGTCAGTCAGTGTTTCCACCTCAGCTTGATTCAGTTCCACCCCAGATACATTGGTTCCCCTTTCTCAATGCTTCTCCATAGTCTCAGGTTCTGTGGTCACCATGGGTTTCCTACCTATACCACCTACACCATCACTTTGTTCTATCATCCTAATTAAATGGAAAGAGGTGCCTAGGATGTCAAAGACCCCATGCCTGACTCACAAAGCACAAACCTTAGTACCTCCACTATATTTGCAGTATGGGCCACAGCTTGTAGAAACAAACACAGACATCAGTACTGTCTCCTAGACTGCAAATCTTGGGAAGCTTAAAGCAGCAATTTGGAACCATTAACATGCACAGAAATCACCTGGAAGTGTTGTTAAAATGCAGTTTCTGATTCAGGAGGTCTGGGATAGAGACTGACATTATGAATTTTTAACAATCACTCAACCAATACCCAAGCAATGTCCTTGAGCTTTGCTTTGAGTTGCACGATCTCTTAATCTACTTTGTGTTTCTGTAACAGAATGTCTGATGCCACGTGACATATAAAGAGAAGAGATTTATTTTGCTCACAATTCCAGCAGCTGGAATGTTCAAAAAGCATGGTGCTGCCATCTAGTGAAGAACCCTGGCTGTGTCACAACATGGTGGATGGCAGCATGGAGACAGTGTGTGCAAGAATGGTGAGCAGCATGTGCAGAAGAGCTTGCATGGCAAGAGAGGGAGCAAGACACCCAGAGAGGGTCTGGTCCTGGTGGCTGTCTGAAAGTCAGCTTCCTTCACCAGTGCAGCTGGCTGTGCCTGAGGCTCTCAGAAGGGGAAGGAGAAGGAGTCAACTCGCTGGAATGCTGCAGGTCTGTTCTTAGCACCAAAGTTAAAAAAAATAAAAAGGAGTTAAAAACCTACTCTTCTTTCCAAGAGAGAACCCTGAATCCAATTTTTCCTTTTAACATGAGTAGATACAGCAGAAAAGTTACTGAAAGAAGCCCCTGACACTGAGCACAAGACCAACTTCTCAAGTCATACAGCTCAGACAACACTGGAGAGAAAAGGCAGGAGGAATATGCCTGGGAAAACCAAAATGAAGGAACCCCATGTAGTGACTTTCTTATTGAACATTTACAATCAAAGCAGAGAAAAGACTAAAAGGACAAATATACCATGTGCACAGCCCACAAGTGAATATATGACGCTCACAAGCCTCGGACATGGCTGACTCCATTGGACAAGTGAGTTGTGGGGTTCTCTTTCAACAAGCAGGAAACATAGGACTCCATGATAAAAAAGGTCAGTGCCACAGGGTGGAAATAACTAGACTATGACCCAGTGATCACCCCTGCTATTGAAGCACTCCCACTGATTATCTACGGAAATGCTACTGGATCTGGAGTTCGCTGAGCCTGATGTCTGCTACTCTGTAGTTTACACTTGTGGGAAGTTGAATCTGTTCAACTGTGGGAAGTTGAATCCATTGACCAAAGAAGTCCTAATCTATATAATCCATACTATGAAATGTCAGATGACCATAAACAACACGTTATGAGGTGTTTTAAAATATGGAAAATGGTAACTGGAAAAATCGTAATGCAAAATTGTAAAGACAGAGTCAACTTTGGTTAAAATTATTTTCATATATTTAGCAGTCATTTCACATGATACTTTAATTTTCTTCCTTATATTTTGTGAAATTTTTTACAATGTGCTACTTACAATTATCCTACTGTGATTCACAAAACAAAAATTTTAAAGCCTCTTACCCAATTAAGTGTGTCAAATTGAAAGACTGTTCAGGCACTTACTTATTCACTTAAAGTAGGTTTCAGGGGTAATTTGTTGGGAGCCAAGCTTTCCACAGGGCACTCAAGATATACAATACCTGTGTAAGAATCCTGAGCATCTCACATCTGCAGATGAAGCAGGAGTTGGCACAGATAGGAGGGTCATGATAGGAGGAAACAATTAGACTAGACAGTTTCATATGTATACTGACTCAAGGGGGAATTTTCTTGGGGAACCCAAGAGGGGGACTGGAAATCTCAGTTTATAAGAATCAGCAAAGGCCAGAGATTTAGCTTCGTGGTTCTGTCGCCTGCCTCACAAGCAAAAGGTCCCGAGTTCAATCCCTGGTACAAAAGAAAAAAAAGCATTCTTGCATAAGAATCAGCAAAGGCTTCAAAGATAGTGATCCAGGGAGGGTTTGCTCCCCAGGCAGAGAAAGGCAAGGCATCCTTGACAGACAGAATTGTAAATATTGATCTTTTCCTTCAAAATTAAAGGCATATCTTATGATAAATATACCACCCTAAGGCAAGAGAGACAAATTGGATGATGAGACATTAAAAATTATGAGTGTTCTCAGCATTCTGTGTGAGGCTCGGGAATGTGAATTCTGGCCAAAGGTCCAACCTTCTCAGCACAAGACTTTGGCCCACAGAGAGCTGCCAGTGATTCTATTTTTCATCCTCACTGGTTTATTTCACATCAGGCCTCAGATTCCTTGAGTGTTTCTAGGCTCACTTTTCATCATGAGCCATACAGACATCCAAAGAATGGGATGATCAGCTCAGCAAGCACATTAGAACCCCGAGGAACTTAATGGGAAAAATAGCAATGCCCAAATGCCACACAGAGATTCTGGCTTAACAGACTGAAGTTTGGCCAAGCATCCATATAGAAAGTTTCAAATGTCCCCAGGTGATACTAACAGGCAACCAGGATCGAAAACCAATGCCATCCCTTCTGAGAGCATTTATTAAAGGGAAAGTGCAAAATATTGGTGACAGGTAGGCTTTCAAAGTGCTCAAAGAAAAAAACTTGACTTTTCCATAAAAGTATTTAAAATGCAGGAATTATAAACAAATGTCATCACATATTGGGGTCGTAGTTAAACCAAAATTCATGGATAAGTACATAGTGATCGTAGTAATTCTAAATTCCTCAAAGAAACTGATAAACAGATCACTACATTTCAGTGAGTTGGCAAGTGTTTCTTTGCCTGGGAATGACAGGTCCATGGTACCTTCATCAGTAAGAGGATGTATTTCTTCTGACCACTTTTCTTAGAGCCCCTTTCAGGTCTCTGTTCCTCAGGCTGTAGATGAAAGGGTTTAGCATGGGGGTCACCACTGTGTACAGCACAGTCGCCATGGTGTCCTTCTCAGCTGAGTGAGAGGATACAGGATTAAAATACACAGCAATGATGGTGCCATAGAAGAGGGAGACCACAGCCAGGTGGGAGCCACAGGTGGAGAAGGCTTTCCATCGTCCCCTCATGGACGGTACCCTCAGGACAGCACAGATGATGCGCATGTAGGAGGCCAGGATGCAGACAAAGGGGGTGATCATAATCAGGGCGCCCTCAGTAAGAATCATCACCTCGTTGAGGTGTGTGTCTGAGCAGGAGAGTCTCAGGAGAGGGGTCACATCACAGAAGAAGTGGGGGATCACATTGTCTGCACAGAATGAGAGTCGAGCCATCAGCAGAGTGTGCAACAGAGCATTCAGGTTGGCGACAACCCAAGATCCAGCCACCAGCAGAGCACAGAGCTGATGAGTCATCTTTGTTGTATAATGTAAGGGGTGGCAGATGGCCACAAAGCGGTCATAGGCCATCACAGCCAGGAGGAAATTATCCATGTCGGTAAGCTCAAAGAGAAAATACATCTGTGTGAGACAGCCAGGGAAGGAGATGGCCTGGCTGCCAAGCATGTGATTGGCCAGCACCTTGGGGACAGTGGTGGAGGAGAAGCAGATGTCCATGAAGGACAGGTTGCTGAGGAAGAAGTACATGGGAGTGTGTAGGCGAGAGTCTGTGCTGATGGCCAGGACAATGAGCAGGTTCCCCAGGACAGTGGCCAGGTACATGGTCAGGAAGAGCAGGAAAAGGAGCTGCTGCTGCTGGGGCTGCCTGGAGAGGCCCAGGAGGAGGAACTCGGAGATGCTGGACTGGCTCAGGTTTCCCATGGTGCTGAGAGCCTGGGCCCAGGAGCAAAGACAGTAAATTCCAAAGCTGGGAAGTGATGGTTAAGGTTAAGGCAATTAAGATGATTGCAGGGTAGGAGAATATGACACTTTAGATAAGAGTAGAATTCTCCTTCCTGTGTTCTGGCATGTGGCTGGTGTTATTTGGGGTTCCATTCCTTCGTTAGAAAAAGAAGATAGTTTGAGCTGAGTGTGGTGGTGCATACCTGTAATCCCAGCACTCTGGTAGGCTGGGGCAGAAGGATACAAGTTGGAACCCAGCCTGGGCAATCTAGTGACTTAGCAAGACCTCTCTATCAAAAGTTTAAAATGTAGCCCAATGTGAAGGTGCTGGGTTCAATCTTCAGTACCAAAAATAAATAATAAAATAAAATAAAGAAAGATGAGATAGTTTGCTAATAGATACCATAAGGAAACTCTAGAAGAATACCAGAAAGATTGGATAGTGAATTTATCCACTGATTTTTGTACTGCTTAAACTTTCTACCATTATGTTAAATTTTTAAGAAGCAACTGTAATAAAACACAACATAATAATATTAATAGATACTTTAGTGTTTATAATGAATACCAGAGAATATATGTAAAATGGTTTTCATAGAGCCAGACATGTAAGTGTTTACCACTGAGCACCAATGTCATCAATATCATTAGTGCTGTTATCTTAGTGAAAATTCTGCTTCATCATCTCCAACCTGGGCATGTTGCACACTCCTGGCTTCTTTGCTCTGAGTGTCATATCATGATCAAACAGTAGCTGTGCCCAGAGTGATAATGATGATATTGCTTATGCTGTCTGTGCTTATGATGACAGAGCTCTTTACAGAGGCCTGAGCCAGGCCTCTTGACTGCATCCAGGCTAACTTGTAATATTTGTTGTTGTTTTTTTTTTGGTACCAGGGATTGAACTCAGGTCCTTACGCTTGTGCAGCAGGCGGCAAAACCACTGAGCTAAATCCCTGGCCCCAACTTGTAATATTTGAATGGAAACAATGCAGACATATGGGCAGAAACTCAGTGAGTTTGTGTTCCCTACTCTCAGGGTCTCGGTTAAAGACAAGGCAAACATTGGTCATTATGGGTGGTTACAAGGAACTGTCCATAACCTCAGGACAATTTCAATGGTGCCACTTAATAGACACTGAGGAATGTCCCTATGAGGGTTCACTCCCAACCAGCAGTTATTGATGAAGTCCCATTATCTGACTCTTACCCAGAAAGAATGAAAGTCCTTACTGTTCCCAGAAGTCCTGGGCTTTTTCAAATCTGACCAGAGATTATTGGTCTGAGGGAGAAGAACTCGTCCTTGGGGTTTTCAGGCTCAGTCCACATGAAAGATATGGATACAGGGACTCAGCCAGCCCTCAATATAAGAAGGATGTATGGGAGACTCACAGAGCCAGCTCTTTGCAGGAGCCTTCATGGCCACTAGGGCCATATTCCCTGAGAGCCTCATTAGGGAGAAGCAAAGGGTAATAATTGTCCCCTCTCCTTGGGTTCTTTGGAATCCAACAGTAATAAGAAAGGCCTGTCATTGAGCTGTATAACTACCATGCCAGGACTTGGCAACATTGAAAATGATACAGGGCTGGGGATTTAGCTCAGTGGTTCCGCCGCCTGCCTCATAAGCACAAGGTCCCAAGTTCGATCCCTGGTACCCAAAAAAAAAAAAAAAAAAAAGATCAAGCTAAACATTTTACAATTCCCAATGAGAAATGTAATTGTGTTGTATACCTACAATGTACCAATAAAAGAATTTAATTTAAAAAAATGATACAGTCTTGGGGATGAACACTGGCAACAACACTTCTGTCACAGAGAACTTACAACTCTATATTTTATCCCCTACCCAAGCTGGGATGGATGCTTGTTGGGAGATATATATGAAGCTGTATAGGGATTAAGAAATAAATTTTAGGCTTTCACAGACCTGTGCACAGTTCCAAGATCCATCATGACCAGTTGTATGACCTTGGAAAAGTATAAACCACTTCTGAATCACAAAATTTCACCATATTTGGAGTGGAAAAATAGTAGTCACCTTGTAGAGGTGTGATGACTAAAAGGACACATCATGTTAAACATCTCATGACTCCTAAACTCATCAGTGCTCTGGGCATATCCATTAGGTGAGACTTCAGGTGTTAAATCATATTTGCATCCTTGGCTCCCTGCTCAGTGATCTGTACTCCAGATAAATATAATTTGGAAATAGCACTACATATTTATCTTCATTTGTTAATACTTATTTTTAAGGGACCATATGATAAGTCTATCTGACTACATTTTAATTTGGGTTAAATGAGAAATGGGAACCACTGATAAATCCATTTATAAATTAGTAGAACATCTTCCTTCTGTCTCTCTTAGACAGAAGCTTTCTTTCTCTCAATAAAATTTTCCTACCCTTAAAAAAATTTAGTAGAACATGGACTCCAAGGAGAAAAAGGATTTGTGAGTCCAGTGGGTATCATTCTTCAAGAATTTTCCTCTATAATTGTTTTGAAGGCAAGACCTGGCTATTAGGTGCCCATAAAGCATTTGATCTTGTGCATTGTGAAGTTCACTTACATGGATTGATAATATTAAAACATAAAAACATAGAACTTAGGGGCCAAGAATTTAGCTCAGTGGTTCTGCTGCCTGCCTTGCAAGCACAAGGACCCAAGTTTGATCCCCGGTATAAGAAAAAAAAACATAGAACTTGAGTCAGAAGAGGCAGATGAATCCTTAGAATAGTGTCTTCTGGAAACCATGTGCTCCTCTAACTAATCTTCCACCTTGAGTTTAATTTTCACTGTGGTTGGTTTTTTGTTTTGTTTTGTTTTGTTTGGTATGTTTGCTTGGTTGGTTTTGGTTTTTGAGACAGGGTCTTGCTATGTAGTTCAGGCTGGCCTTGAACTCACTATGTGGCCCAGGCTAGCCTGGAACTCACGGTGATCCTCCTGCCTCAGCCTCCCAAGTGCTAGGATTATGGGCATGCGCCACCACACCTGGCTGATTATGGTATTTTACACCAATTCTTTTTTTTTTTTTTTTTGGTACCGGGGATAGAACTCAGGACCTTATGCTTGCAAGGCAGGTGCACTACCACTGAGCTAAATCCCCAGCAATGGTATCTTAATAAGTAGCATTTGGGAAATGGGTGGGGAGAGAATAGGGAATGAAAAGAATCAAGGTATGTACCTACTCTCTAAAATGAATGTAAACATCATTGTCTTAGTTACTTTTCTCACTGCTGAGACAAAATACCCGACATGCAAAATTAAAGGAAGAAAGGTTTATTTAGCTTAAAGTTCGTAGAGGTTTCAATTCATAATTGGCTGGCTCCAAGGCAGATTGGCACATGGCAGAGGGGTATCTCAGAAGAGAACAACAGTTCATGGCCCCCCGCAAGGTAGCAAAAGCAACAAGAGACCTTAACAGCATCTTTCTGTTCCTTTTATCTTATTCAGACTCTCAGGGCAGGTAGCACTCACACCCTTAATCCTAGTGCCCTAGAGCCTAGCACTGCACCATGAATCAATCACACACTCTAGATTCAGCCACCTCTGAAAAAGCCCCAGCTAAGACTGCATGAGACTTTGAGGGGACATCTAAACACAAGCAATAACAATCAAGTCCTGCAAACTGTACTAGTAAAATAAAATTTTTAAATTAATGAACAAATTTCAGGAAAAAATAAATAATATTCACCTACTCTCATAATAAAAACTCCAGGGTTATAATGAGTCTCTATGTCCCCATCAGACATGCTGTTGGAAATCAAGTTCTGTCCATCTGATCTCCAAAAATATCTCAAAAGGGGATCACTGAGGTGTAGCTTAGGGGTAGAGTGCTTGCCTATCATGCATGGGGCCCTGGGTTCCATTACTAGCACTGAAAAAAAAAGCCAAAAAATGAATAAAAGCAACCCACAAAGCTAATTATGAAAGAATGGGGCAAGGGGAAATAGTCATTGAGTTAAGAAAGATATTATTTGCAAATGATAGAAAACCAATTCCCATCAACCCAAGAAAAAATAGAATCTATTGTTTGATGTAGTTGCAAAGCCCAAAGTGTCTTCTTAACAAAATTTGTGTGTTTCAAGCAGGAACCCAAGTAATGACATCAGGACCCTGTGTTTCGTTATCTCTATTTTGTTTGTTTCTTCTTTCTTTTTTTCTTTATTGTAATCAAGATTTGCAAGGGAATAGATTTAACACAGGAAACATAATTTATAGGATTATTTTATAATATCTACCCAAAAAGTCACATACAGAGGAGTGCAAGAGATCTGTCCACAAGCTAGAGACCCAAAGAATCCAGCCAAAAGCCTGAATCCCACAGCAGTGTCTCACATAAGTCCAACTAAAGGCCTAGAGCCCAGGGCAATGTCTCATGCAAGTCCATATGAAGGATCTGAACTGGGAAGGCCCAAAGGCCAGTGGTGGAAGCAAGAAAGTCTGCACAAGCAGGGTGAAGGATCTGTGCCACCAGGCTGAGGGATCTGCCCTGGATCCAGGGAGTGATGCTCAAGGCGAAGACCAGAGCTTCCCTAACAAGAACAGCAGCCATCCCTGGCCACAGCAAGGACCCAAGCTCCTCTGATAATGAGAACAGCCGAGTTGGTATCAGGAAAACCAGCTACATCAAGCTTCTCCAGGAAAATGAACAGCATACAATCTTCCCCTCCAGTTCTTTTTTTATGCCCTTGGCAACAATTCTCAGGTGGGTCTTCCATGACCAGAAGAACCACATTGACTCAGTTCAGCTGGGTGTTCCAAGTTGATCATTTGTTAATCCACCACACGCTTCTTCTTTCTTTCTTCCTTCATTCTATAGGTTGTCTCTCTCCATGTGGCAGCAGATGACCACGAATAGCTCTGAGCTCAACCCTCCCACCCCCACCCTGACTAGCAATCACAGAGCACATAGAACTTCTCTTCACTAACAAAGATTAGATCCGGGATGACACGGAGGAGAGCAGCTCACCAAACGAGCCTAAGAATGAAAGTGGTGGGGAAGGCCATGAACATAAATCCAAATTGCATGATCACAATAGTGTTGTTACAGGCAAGTGAGTTGGAACTGTAGAGATGCACCACACTCTGAGCCAGATTTGAGTCCGTTTTTATTATAGCTGGAGACCGAGAAGGGGCTAGTGCCTGGAAAGTTCTCTCAGCGCTGACAAGCAGTTTGATTTCTCCTTTTAAACCATGCTTTCAGTTGGGGAGGGTTCAAGGGGAAAGCAAGTGGAATTTTACAGAAGTA